AAGAATTTTGGTTTTGATGATAATTTGTTTCCTGCTTTTGTATTGAAGTGCTGATTAACAGAAATCTTGTTTGGGCTCAAACAATTGGCATTAACTATAAAAACAACTTTATGCTGATTTCTTTGAATTAAAATCAAAAATGTTTTTTATTTTCAACAGGAGGACGAACTTGAAGGCCACACAAATGAAATCATGAGGTTGTTGGTGATTCACAGTCCCACAGCAGAGGAATGTTGTTATAAGAGTGTTTAAATTGTTTCCATTGTATGTTTTGTCATTATTAGACTTTGCTTTATTTTTCAGTGATGATGTAAGATATATGTAACACTGTAATGTATTTTAACACTGTATAGCCTGGTTTATACTTCTGCGTCAAGCGATCGGCATGACCCACGGCGCATGCAACATTCGCAGCTGTGCATTCATACTTCTGCTGCTGTTTCTGTTGCTCTGCAATAACACTCCAGAAACACTAGTTGGCAGTGAGGTGTTAATGTTCCTCTGTGTTGAGTTTCTTCACTGGTGTTTTGTTTTTTCTGAACGCTACCTTAATGTACAAGTGGCTCAACCTCGCTCATTCAGAGCCAGGAGCCAGCGGACGTGCAACAACTTTAATCATGAGGTAAACACAAAACCAAACTTTCCATCTGGAGCTCCTTCACAGGACACCACACTTGTAAACAATCGCTCCATCGGGCTCGTGGGGCTCTCGGCCCCGCCCACACTCGTCAACGCAGTCAAGTCGACCAATCACAGCGCTTGTGTTATGCGTCGTTGCGATGTGTATTTACATTTTTGAGAGGTGCGCATCAGCGTCACCGACTGCACTTAACGCAGAAGTATAAATCAGCCTTAACACTGAATTTTGCTTGAAATGTATCTCTATATTAATAGTTAAAAATGTTTTTATATGGTTTTATGTGTGTCTTCTTGACAATTTTTTACTAAACTTACTCTTCAAAAAATAAGTTTTAGGTAATAATTTGTATTGGTTTATTATTATTATAATTAATGTAGTAGAAGAACTGTTGCTGCGAAAAGTAGAGTAAATGTTACTCAATTGTATAAGTAAATACTAATGAGAACTATTGGTTAGATCTTACCTTATTTCTTTTATAAATATTTGTCATAGAATTTTACCCTAAAGATGTGAGGGCAAATTGTTACCTCAATTTTACCGGGTTAGATTCTACAGGTTGTTTTTTTACAGTGCAGAATATCTACAGATATATCTGCATAAAAGAGGTTTAGATTTAAATTAAATGAAGATAATACTCATTGTAATCTAGCAATTCTAGTTCAGTCCTACATTCTCTAGCTTATTTTCTGTGTGTTGTCAATACTGGAATTCGGTACCAATGAATACTGAAATTTTAAAAAACGTAATTTCCTACTAACATTTGAGTGCTGATTGGCTATTGTGTTCGCATGCTCAACAGAAATGACTGTGATTGGCTGTGAAGGTCCTCAGTTCACCAAACTCACCGCTGTTCACTGAGTGTAAACACACACATGGACACTGGATGTTGATCAGCTGGTGTTTATTTAGTTTTTGCTGTTTTAGGCTCGAGAACCTAACTGTTAATCGAATAGAATCTTGTTGACTATTTGATTATTAATTTAAATGATTGATGACAGGATGTTTTGAAAATAAAAATCTAGCAAATTCTATTGCAGCCCTACATCCCTGAATCATACGCTTATTTTCCATACCTGAGGTATTGTTCTCCATCAGATGAGCTGTCGTTATTAGCTGTGTTTACTTTTGTTTTGGCTGATTTAAGCTACAGAATCCAACCATTAATCGAATTTAATCCAATTTCATTGTGAATCGAATCTAACTAAATCATTCAGAATTTACAAAAATAGTTCTTGAATCATTTGAATCATGAATAGAATCGATTCACTATCTACCCAAAGATTCACAGCACACTGAATGAGCAACTGCTGCTTCTTGTTATGATCTTACTATACCTTCATGTTTGGAAAACCGAACAAAGCTTTTCTCTGTGTGGGAGTGCTTGAGTTCTGAGTGTAATCTGCACGTCATGAAGCAGACACATCTCACATTAAGGTTCACAATTAATCGACAGGATTTTTTGTAAATTGACACTTAAACCTAGCAAACTCCAGTGCAGCTCTACTCAATGATAAGGTCATTTCCCTCACCTGAGGTGCTGCTCTCCGTCAGAGGTGGTGTGGTTGTCAGCGGTGTATTTGGCTGTGTGTGTGCGCGCTGGCGTCAGAGCCAGTTTGAGTTTGTTCTGAATGAGGCGAGCGCTGGTCTCATCCTCTCTGAACGCCAGCATGAAGGGATTGCAGTCGATTTTCAGCCGGGTGATCTGCGGGTTCTGGTAGCTGGTCACCGCGTAGAACTCAGTCTTAGGGAAGGTGAACATGTGCACATTAGGACTCTTCAGCGGGACGGCCCGCTCTAGACAGGCGCTCACCGGAGCCACGTACAACCGCGGCTGGTAGCGGTGCATTGGCTGCAGGAGCACGCCTTCCCGCTCGCAGGAGTCGTGCGTCAGCTTCACCGTGTAGAAGGACACCGGGCTGTCCATCCAGTGCTGGCCCACAGCCGGAGAGTCAGGGTGGAAACACACGGGGCTCTGCAGATGAGCTTCACCCGGGCCGTCCGGCTCCCACGCCTCTCCGTTAAACCGGTGTCGGAGATCATCCAGCGGAGCGATGTCCATGAGAAGGAAGTACTGCAGGTCGGGGTCCAGCCCGCGCAGGCGGAAGCGGCAGCAGGGGAACATGCGTCTGCCCTGCGGCGTCAGCAGCATCTCCGTGCCTAGGCTGTGGAAGCGGCTCCAGACTGACTCGTTCTCCAGGGTCGCCTCTATAACCCTGCTGGGACGGCCCTCTGTGGATACTAAAGCTCCGGAATCCGCTGGGTTTGTGCATTTAACAGTGTCATGATTTCCCAGCATTCCCTCTGCTGTGATCTCCATGGCTGCAGGATGCTCAAACATCAGGCCAGTGCAGATCTGGCAGAATTAGTGAGATTACAGCATCTGAAACGGCTGGAAAAACAAGAGAAATCAGTCATCTGTGAGGTCAAACAGACAGAGCAATAACCATACTACTGTCTTATTTACAGCTGCTTCAACGAAAGAGCCTTGACATGAGCAATTTGTATTGGATGTTTGGTATAATCTCAATTGAAACATGAAGATGGAGTAGCTCCTCCCCTTTTTAAAAAAATCAGCCAATAGCATGATGTGTTTCTCACAGCTCTGCCATTATGAGTGGTCGAGCTCAAGCACATGAAATAAACATCCAATGAGAAGAAGGGGGCGGGGCATGCCAGACACTAGGGAGGATTTGATTGGTCAGAAGATTTGATAAGAAACTGAAGTATGAGGAGACGGCAAAAATCAATGAACCATTAGGCGAACGTGAAAGACTGGATGCTTATATCAGGGTTATCTGTTCTACATGTGAGTTTTGTCACTGTTAATGGAGCACACTAGATTACAGATATACTGACTATCACAGAACATTTTGCTTGGGTACATCTGTTTTCATTCTTGCACTCTCATTCGTTGCTGAATAACCAATCAGAGCGCTGTCTTCACCTGACTCTACATAATAAAATGTTTGCATTCTTGGTTATCTGATTCTTCCTATACACAGAGCATTAATACGGCATCCTTGGCTTGCAGTAAATATATAAACACACACACACACATACCACAATGTGATCACTAGGTCTGTGGCAATAATTAAATACCTGTCTAACTGCGGTTGTTTAATCTAATTACTGTAATGCGTTTAATAGCCCCAAGTGGAGACAAACAATCAAATGCAGATCACCATCTTAAACACACATGCACATCCAACCTGGCCAGAGTGAGAGACTCATTATGTGTGTGTGTGTGTGTGTGTGTGTGTGTGTGTGTGTGTGTGTGTGTGTGTGTGTGTGTGTTTGTGTGTGTATTATGGCTGTACAGCGTTTCTCTACTTCCACTACTGCTGTAGTTTATAAACAGCATGCGCCAACAACATCTAAAGTTTGTTTTCTATGCTGTGTGTG